GGCGGCGACCCACGCCGCGACGGGACCGGGTCGGGCCACGTCCGACCTCGCGACGGGCTCCGGCACACGCCACACGCGGGAACACACGACCGAGCGAGCGGGGGGGAGCGTGGCCGGCACCATCACCGTCGGACGGCCACGGGGGAACGGCACGGCGCCCCAACACGGGGACCGGGGCCGCGACGGGCCTACCCCCGCACCGCCACGCGGCGGACAGCGGTACACACCGGAGAAGCCGAACCCGACCCGAGTACGAGGAGCGGGGTCACGTGGGACGGCGGCGCGAAGACGGCGAAGGGACCGTCAAGCGAGAAGGAGCTCCCCTGCGGGCCAAAACACGGCGCGGTCGGGGGGGAATCGCCGGTCACGCGCGAGGGCGCCCGGGAGACGTTCCGAGGGCGCACCGACCGGGCACGTCCGGGCACGCGACACGGGAGGCGTTCTCACCGCCGGCGCCCCCAACCTGGGCGCGGTGGCAGCCACCCCCCGCTGACACGCCCGAGACGAGACACACGGCCGGCGACGCCCCGGTCAGAGCCCCGGGGCGCGCACCTCCGCGGAGCCGAGACCCCACACCCCACCGCAGCCTCAGGAGCCGCCAGCGCGCGCCCCCCCACCAAACGGGGCTCAACCCGCAGCACCAGCCGACCGTCCAACGCCACCTGCCGCGCCGAGCACACCTCGGACCCCGGGTCCCGCGCCCCAGACGAGCCGGAGCGGGGGTGGGGGAAGCAGGGCGGCGCGACGGGCTCAGGCACCCGGAGGAGGATCAACGACGGCGGGGAGACGCACGCAGGGGCGGGGTACCATCCCCCCATCGGTCAGGGGGGGCAAGGCAGCAGGAGCAGCTCCGGGAAGAGAAGAACCCCCACACCAAGAGGGGAGGCGGGGGCAGACGCCTCGGGCGCGCGGTCGGGCCACCAGGAAAACCACGCGGGAACCCAACCGCCCACAAGGGCGGCTCCCGCGACGCCTGTGACGCCGGGCCCACGAGCCCCCGGGGCCTGAACCCCCAACCCAGGAGCCTTCCCCATCCGAAGCCCTCCTGACAACCTCACGCCACCGGCGGGGAGTGGCACGCCCGCACGACTCCTCTCACAGCCACGGGAGAGACATCCGAGCACGCCAAGACGGCCTCCCACCGCCTCACAGCCACCCGACCGCACGGGCACCGACCGTCACCCCGAGTCAGAGGACCGGCAACACCGACGGAACGCTCCCGCGGCGGGGAGGGAGGGGAGGCGAGGCGGACCGGCCCCGTGCCCACACAGGCACCGCCGTCGCCGCCGGACGCGGCAACGGGGACCGGACGACGACAAGAGTGAGGCGGACGCGGGTATCCAAGCTCACGGCGGGCACGGGGAGGGAGGGTCCGGGGGAACGGGCCCCGCGCACCCTCCACACACACGGGGTTCGCCTCCACCGGCGGGGGGGACGAAGCCACACGCGCGCGCGCTCACGCGCGGCGAACCGTCCCCCCTCCTCACAACACACGCACCGGGCGCCGGCCCCGGGCCCAGCGGGACCCTCCCCCGACTCGGAGGGGGGAGGCGCGGGCCACAGCCAGAGGCAAAGAGCGGGCGCACGACCCCCACCGCGGGGACCGGCGGACCCCTCCTTCCACCCCACCACGGCAGAGCTTGGGGAAGGAGGGCAGCTCTCGCCCAGACACGCACCGACCGACGGCTACGACGCAGCGACGTCGGCGGCTACCGCGCGAGGCTGAGAAAGGAGACAAACGCGGGTGGCCACCGTCACGAGGCACACCCTTCTCTCGGATCGCTGGAGAAGACTCTTCTCACTGAGGGCGGGCCGCACCCGGCCCCGAGCGGACCCCCGTCGGAGCGCGAAGGGAAACCGTCGAGGAGACAAAGCCAGGCTTGGGGGGGATCTGCGGTACAGGCAGAGGGTCGGGCACAACAAGCGTCTCGAGCGTACGCGGCCGGGGCCGGCAGGGGAGCCCGCCACCCGCCACCACGGGCCGGGCTCCCCCACAATCCAGCGTCTGGCCGTGCCGGGCGGCAACGGCAGAACGGCCCTCAAACCTCCCGCAAAGAGAGGAGAGGAAAGGCAGACGGCAGGCCGGCCCAACCACGATCGCTCACACGCCCGCGGGGGCCCCCCAGAGGAGGTAAACACACGCGGGCGCGCGCTCAGCCCCACCCCCAGCAGGCGATCTCACCCACACCTCCTCTCATCGCGCCGGGACGAACGAGAGGACGCCGCTGGGGAGGGGAGGGAAACCCACACGCCCAACACCCCTCCCCCAGGGCGGGGGGGAGGGTGCATGAGGCGCAAGAGCCTCCTCTTCCCTACCGACTCGATCCCCGGGCGGTTTCCCGGCACAGCCAGAAAAACCCCCAAAGCGAGGTTTAGCACGCCAACGACGGCAGGCGGCTCAGAACAGAGGCACCGGGACACGGGTACGGCACCGACCCTCAGCCTCGTGCACCTGGACAGACAAGCCGGGAACGCTCCAGGAGCACCGCAGGAGGCCGAGGCACGCTCGCGTGCCGTAGGGCGCGGCGCGCAGCGTAGTGGCGGGGCGAGCCCCTCTCCCCACCGTGGGGGAGGACTCCACCCACGCCGCAGACGCCCCCCGAAGGGGCAAGCGAGGAGAGTTCCATCGCGTCAAGCGACCACGACCCACCCCCCCCCCCCCGGGCGACAACACCACAAGGGCGAGCGGGAGGGGAAGCGAGGTCGGGCCGGATTCCGCACCCCTGCCTTCCACGCACCACCGAGAGGCGGGGTAGAGAGACGAGGGGCCCGCAGGCAGAACGAGAAGAGCGGTCCCATTCGCCATGAATGTCCGTCCCTCGCCTGGCGCGGCTTAGGCCCGGCCCAGGAGAGCGCTCATTCACCACATCGGTCACAATGAAAGGGGAGGGGAAGAGACAGGACCGCGGGGAGGGTAGGCCTGGCAAGGACAGTCAGAGAAGAGCCCGCTTTCAGCCTCGCCAGTGCCACAACCCCCAACACCGCCAGCGGCCGACAACGACCCAGGGGAACGCCTGACACGCAGAAAGGCACGGAGCCACACTCGAGGGTCGTCTCAGACCGCACTCGGTGCCCGCGACGAGGAGCACACAGGGGCAGAGGGCCCCTGCCGCCATCCCCGCCACCCTCGGGTGCTAGAGACCGGAGGCGGCACCGAGTCAGGGGAGGCCACACTCGGATGTCCAAGAGCCGGCGCACGGGCCCCAGGGCGGACAGCTCAGGGGCGAGAGAAGCAGGGTTCCAAGTACCACGGGACGGCCAGCAAACCCAGAGCCCCAACTCGCCATCCGGGAGCCCAAATCCCCTCGTCTTTGCAGCAGCGGCAACCACTGAAAGACAGCGTGTCAGCATATACCTGCAGACACAAAACGCCCACCTCTAGCCAAAAGATCTGTGACACATGACAGAGGGGACAATCCCCTGATCACACCCGCCCTCCAAAGCAAGGCGCCGGGGACCTGGCCCCTCAGACGACCCCAATGCTGCAGACGGCGGAGCACCCAGGGCCAACTGGTCGACCGCGGGGGGGGGGGGGTGGGGGGGCGGGACAGGGCGCAGGGACGCTGGACCAAGCCAGCCCTCCATCAGCGCCCTCCCCGAGCCACCTGCTGGCGCGGGGGACAGCACGAGACCCTCTCACCTGGGCCTTCCTTGGGGAAACGGGCAATGGGCCGAGCCCTATGGCCACTGGGGTCCACTGGGTCCCCACTGGGGCCCGGAGGCCGGGCACCCTCCCCGGGCGGGCGAACCCCGCCGATCCTCGAGCCTAACTCGGACTTAGTCGCTGACTGAGACAGGTAGGTCCCCGCCCGCCCCTCCAAACACCAGGACCCACTCGGGCTCGAGGCCGAGGCCCCGACAACCTCCACGGGCGGGTGGTCCCGGCCCCGGCCCCGGCCCCGGCCCCGGCCCCGGCCCCGGCCCCGGCCCCGGCCAGTCCGCGAGCTCGCGAGCTCACACTTGGGGAATCACAACGATCCAGATCCAGACTTCCAACCACCGGGGGCAAAGCCCAACAGCCCTGCACGGCCCCTCGCGCTGCAGCCAGGACAAGGCGGGGACCCCGCAAGGAGTCCGGAGAAGAGCAAAGAGGAACACAGGCACCGGTGACCCGGCCGAGCTGGCCACACACTCCCTTCCACGAGCCGGCCCAGCCGGCTGCCTGCCGGGATGGAGGGAACACATCTCTTCCCTCCTTGCGTCTCGGTGGCCGGCCGGAGGGCCGCCGAGAAGCAGGAGGGTGTGCTGGTCGACCGGCTCGGGTCACCCACACACCCCCCGGCTAGCCGCGACCGGCCGCGGAAAGGCGGCAACAGTCACCTCTCACATAGCCCTGCCGATCCAATCTCCGCACAGCGCGCCCGCCGGCTCAGCTCAGGCACGACCGCTGCAGTCTCGCCTAGCAGGCGGACCTCCTGGGACTCTGTCCCCGTCGCCAAGGCCACACGTCAGCCCTTTGCGCTCCAGCTGCTGACTACGAGCGCGACATCATAGCAAAGCCACCACCAGGTGGAGCCCCACAACGACCTCAAACACCAGCGAGATCACCAGAGGTCTCTGAGCTGGAAGAGCAGGATGTTCAAAATCACCCTAAGGGGCCCAATCGGCGGGGTCCCCTGGCCTCCAAGGGGGGAGGGGGGACCGCGGAAAGGAGTAGGCGAGTGAGTGCGCGTGCAGGCAGGGTGGAGGGAGCCTTTGAATCCGGAGATAGATCAATCACCCGGGGGGGGGGGGGTACGACAGCTAAAGCGAGGTCTGTTTGCCTGCCTGCCTGCCTGCCTGCCTGCCTGCCTGGTGCCTGGTGCCTGCCCGCCTGCCCACCTGCCTGCCCAGGAAACACAGAGAGTCCAAAACAAGCCACCTGAACAAGCTGCTGCAGCCCCAAGGAGGCAAAGGGCCAAGGGGCTCAGGCCAGCCCGGCAAACAAATCGCTACAAAGTGGGGTTGAGGTTGACGTTGTACTTCTCGGAAGCGTATAAATAAAGACACATGCTACAGTGGTTGTGCTCTCTCTCTCTCTCTCTCTCTCTCTCTCTCTCTCTCTCTCTCGATATATATATATATCTCGGCGACTTACAGCAAATTATATCTACAGCTAGGAAAATCTTCAGGTGACCCTGATAAGTACCTCAATGTCTTTCAAGGATTTGCTCAGATCCATAGAAGCTAGGCTGGGAAGATGCAATGTCACTCTGAACGTCAATGACTTCTAGTGAGAGACAGGCAGTGTTACAAGTCGCTATTGCATTTGGACATGAGAGATGAGTATCATACCGTTCACTTTAGAAGACCAGAAGACAGAGAGGCAGGGGAACCACCAATTCCCAACGGTGCACAATCTTGGTTGGTTCCCAACCAAGACCCCGAGTGGCCTGACAACAATGTAAGAGATGAGAACAAGAGACACTTTTCCAGACGTGTATTCTTGAAGGTCTGAGGAGGATAAAATCCAAGCCTTCTAGTTATTTTACATTGTCAAGTACGTCTCTAAAGAAAGGTGAAAACCGCTCTGACTTCTTAGGTCATTTATCAGAGGCACTCATGAAACATGGATCCATAGATCCTGATTTATACAACTGCAAGTGTGTGTTTTTAAGTCCTGTATTACTTGTACCCTTACACTGTTTTGTTTTGTTCCCTTAAAAAAAAAATAGACCCTGATTCAACAGAGGGGCAGATTTTGTTTAAAGACATGTTTATTACCCACTTAACTCTGGTCATTAAAAGAACAAAACAACAACAGCAGCAACAACAACAAAACAAAACCTACCAAAGGTATCCATTGCTCCAGATAGTTCTCCTGACTCTTTAATTAAAAAGTGTTTCCTTAGTATTCTATAATCAGGACAGGGAGAGAACAGAGAGAACCACAAAAAAAAAAAAAAAAAAAAAAAAGAAGCCCCCCCCCCCACACACACACACACACCATGCCCTGACTGCGCAGGGGACCACTGCCTGCCCTCTGAGGCCAAGGCCCCAGAGTTCAGACCCATCCTATCCTATCAGCTGATCCAATAGGACTCAAGGTCCTCGGGGCACTTGCCTCCTCGCGCTGGACCCCTTTGGGTCTCTCAACTAACGTATCTGCCAAAAACAAAACAAAACAACGAAAAGTAAATGTTTAAAATGAAGAAACAATGTTACACAGTGAATTTATTAGATATATATCTATGTGTGTCTATCTTCAGGAGTAACTGCTGTGTGTAAAACAACACACGTGTGAGTCTGTGTCTGTCTCTCTCTGTGTTTTAACACAGGCCCTTTAAATCTCCCCACCCCCATCACCTTTCACTCAAGGCTTTCACTGAAGGCAGAGAGGCCTCCGCGGCAACACCCACCCCACCTTCTCTCTCACACAGGCCTAAATCCATTTGGATCCTCCACTTTACAAAAGCATTCTACGTAGATCACTTTACATCCACCTTTGTGTCTGGAACGAATTCTTTTTTTTTTTTTTTTTTTTTTTAATTTAAGAGGAAAAAGAGAAAAACACAAAACAAACCAAAGCGGCGTAAGGGTACACGCAATACAGAACTACAAAACAAAACAAAACAAAACAAAACAAAAAAAACATAACAGTAAGAAATTACCTGCTAGTAGATTACACACTATCTTCTTGAAAATAGTTCCTCAAATCACAGTATCAAATAACACAAGGTGGACATTCAAACAGGGAGACTGCAAACAGCTGTGTTCAATGTTCCAAAAACATTGATAAAGTCAGCTATTTAACACCCCCAAACACACTTGCTGTTATATCCGTTAGAGCTCTTTTTCTGTTTTTTTTTTTTTTTCCCTCTCTTTTTTACAACAAAATTTACACATCTTGTATTTTATTACTCCTTAGTGCTTATTACTTTCTTTGGGGGGGGGGGGAGAATACATTCAAATATGGCAAAACAAAGCTGTCAGTCAATACCAAGGATAGACATAGCACATGGTGTAGAACAGAGTACAAGTTTATCAACAATGGTTATCAACGTTGTCCCTTGTTTCCTTAAAAAGAATTGTCTATCTTATTAGATATTATAAAGTTGGACAAAACAGTAGAGAACAAGACCAATAAAACTTAGGCATTGTAAACATTACAGGACTTCCAAAGAAGACAATAGTCAAACCAGAATGGGTATCTTAGTGAATCTTATTGTCTTCAAAGTACTTGCCTATGTCTTCAAACTTGATACTATCATATAGAATGGAACAGAGTCTAATCAGTCAAAACAAGATCGTGGGAGTACTACAGGACTTCAAAACAAGTTAATAGGAAATCGAAAAGAGTTACTATTTATATATCCTAATTTTTTTGAATTTTTTCTTTAATTAAGACAAACATAAGAAATGACTAAATAATTTTTTTTGAAACAATAAGGGGGAGATTGAGATAAAACAGGACATAACAATATAACAATAGAGGTCACAGCATGACTGTTTCAATAACCTAGTACTTCACCACCTTATAACCTGACTTAATAGTAGTTACCATAGTGTCTTTTTCCTTGAAATATTTGGGTAAAACTTCATATACTCTAGCTTCAAATATTTTCATATCAAGAAGCCCAGAATAAAGCCTTTCTAATTAATGAGTGAAAACTTTATAAGGCTTCAAGGCCACCTAATGGGGAATCATGATTACCACATATTTTTATATATTTGAATCATTATTTACATTAGGGAAACTATTCGGTATTCACACATGCGAGATTGATTTATTTCACTAATGAGTATGGTCTCATGGAACGAATTCTTTACACAAGGGCACAAAGCAGGGGACGCAAGGGTGGGCGAGGGGAGGAGGGGGAGGCGGAGGCCAAAGCCGAGGCCGAGGTCGAGGCAGGGAGAGGGACAGCAAGGTCAGCTCAGTGGCAGTTCCGGGATCAGAGGCCCAGGGGCCCGGGACCTGGGGTAGGGGAACTGCGCTAGGGCCGGATAAAGCCGGAACCAGGAGAGAGACGGGCCCCCGAGGCGCGGTAGGGGAGGGGGCGGCGGCCGGGGAGTGGGAGTGGTGAGCGAGGAGGCGAGGAGGCGGGCACCGGAGGGAATGAGGGGGCTGGGAGGCCGTGAGCGGAGGAGCTCCCCTACAAGCCTTTCCCTCCCTCTCCCCGGTTGTTTTGTTTTGTTTCGTTTCGTTTCGTTTTTGTTCTTGTGTCTTTCTAGGACACATTCAGGAGGGCAGCAAAATCCAGCCGAAAAAACGAGCGACTTCCTAGATAACCCGCCCCCCCCCCCACGCGGACGCACGTAGACGCACGCACGCACACTGCGCAGGCGCACACTCGGCAGACGCGACAGCCCCCTCCCCACCCCCGGCAGCGGCGTCCGAGGGGGGGAGGGGCCACCACACACAGAAGCGGTTCCTATGCCGATGCCCCGCCCCCGTGACCCCGTGACCCCCGCGCCGCGCACTCGATCCCTCGCTCGCGCACACCGCGCGGCCCGCCGCCCCTGCCGCCGCCCCGCCCCCCCTCCCCCCCAGCCCCGTCTGCCTTCCTACACTAAATAAGCTAGCTGTATTTCTTTCCCCTCCTCTCCCCTCCCCAGTGACATTCAGCCCCGAGAAATAGAGCAGAGGAGGCCCTGAAAATCAGCTCGGGGTAGGGAGAAGAGTGGGATGTTGTTGGATCCTGTACCCTGGGGCACAGGAAACACGGCAATGGTAAAGGACAGGCCAAGGAGGAAGGAAGGAAGAAGGAAGGAAGGAAGGAAGGAAGGAAGGAAGGAAGGAAGGAAGGAAGGAAGGAAGGAAGGTGCAGTACCCCACAGGCCCAGGGCCCTGGATGAAGCTCAGTGACATCAGCACCTGCCTGGCAGGTCCAAAGTCTTGAGTATGATCCCTGGTACTAATACTAATATGAATACGAGTACTAATACTAATACTAATTCCCCAGCACCAGGTCGTGGCAGTGGAGATATCCCTCCAAAAACCAGGCAAGGCACTCCACACCCGATATCATTGCAGTGTGTGTGTGTGGGGGGGGGCGGTTTGCTGAGACAGGCAGGAGGTATACGAGATCTTTGTTTTCTTTTTCTTTCTTTCTTTCACTCATTCTCTTTCTTTCTTTCTTTTTTTCTTTCTTTCACTCATTCATTCATTCATTCATTCATTCATTCCAAGCCACTCTGTACCACACACAGAGACCCTGTGACTGACTGTATTAAAAGACAGAGAGCAGGGGCTGGGGATTTAGCTCAGCGGCATAAGCACCTGCCTTGCAAGCAGGCGGTCGTGAGTTCGATCCCTGGTACCGGTAAAAATGAAAAAAAAAAAAAAAAAAAAAGACAGAGAGCCGAGGGTTTAGCTCGGGCCACAGAGGTTTAGCTCAGCGGCATAAGTGCCTGCTTGGCAAACTCGAGGTCGTGAGTTCAATCCCCAGTACCAATCAATTAATCAATCAATAAATGGCAGAAAGCCAAGTCCAGGGACACCCCTAGGTACCCGCCAGGCCATGGCAGTGAGAGACAGGAAGGCCACGGGCCAGGGATATAGCTCTGCAGCACAGCACCTGCCTGGCAAGCATGAGGCCCTGAGTTTGATTCCCAGGACAAAACTTGAATATAGGACCGGGGATTTAGCTCAGTGGCTTAAGCCCTTACCTGATAAGCACAAGGTCATCAATTTGATGTCCATTGCAAAAAAGAAAGAAAAAAAAAAAAAAAAGTGAACACAAGCATGAATGAATAATAAATAAATAAACAAATCACTAAATAGGGCCAGGGATATGGCGCAGCGGCATAAGGGCTTACATGGCAAATGCAAGGTCCTGAGTTTTAATTCCCAGTACCAAAACATCCACCCATCCATCCATCCATCCATCCACCCATGCATACATACATACATACATACATACATACATACATACACAGGTAAATAGATAAAGGTAGGCCGGCAAACCAGGGCCAGACAGAGGGACACGGCCCAAGAGCTGAGATACATACATCATACCGCCCAAACAACAGATAGGTGGTGCATGCCCATGCACCCGACGGGCGGGCAGGAGAGATG